CCCCCTCTCTAGTTTTCCCCAAACCCCTGGCCCGCCCCCCCCCCCCCGTGTCAGGGTGTCCACATCAGTAAGCTGGCTGCTGAGAAGACTCCAATGCTTGCGTGTTCCCGCACCTAGCTGTGTGCGTCCATAGACGAGCAAGCATTCCCCGCATGCCTACATAGTCTGGCAGCTCGATATCTTTATTGGAATGTCCTGGGGCCACCCCTATGTGGGTATTGGGGGTCTATCTCACCAACTCCTCTAAACTACTACACTCAAAGGAGAACTATGAGGTGAGCGATTTCCACCCATCCTCATAGTTCTAGCCGACGTGTGACAATGAAACTCACATGTCGGCTAAATAGATTGGGAAGTGAACGAACACATACTGTCGCTCGCTCACTTCTCGATCATCTCCCTGAGGAGAGCCGTGACTGGAGGAACCGGGGCGGGCACAGCTCTAGATAGGCAGAGCCCGCTGTCACACAGCTGGGTGGATCCAGACAGTATTGTCGGCATCCGTCACGGCTGCGGCGCCCTCAGTATATGGCAAGCAATAGCCCGCTATATACTGAGCTTTGGGTCACGGGAGGAGGTTAGCATATGTCCTCCCGTGACCCTAAAGAGAACTATTGGATCAAAAGGGTTACCCAGTCGTTCTCTTTTTTTAAATCTGTTCTCTCCTGGGATCCCGGTCTTCATTTTTTCTTCTCCCATTTGGAGTTTTTCTCCTTCAAATATTCCCTAAATAAGCTTCCTAATGCCCACAATGGGCCACAAAATCAGATCTGTGTTTTTGGTATTAGTAAAAACACACTCGGGGGAATTTATGAAACATGGAACAGACAAAATCTGGAGCAGTGGCCCATGGCGACCAATCAGCTTCTCTCTTCAGTTTGTTCAGTAAAGATTTGAAAATGAAAGAGAGAAGCTGATTGGTTGCCGTGCGCAGCTGCTTCAGATTTTGTCTGCTCCACTTTTGATGAATTCCCCTCATTGTGAAGCAGGTGTGTTGTGTGTTTATTTCCAATGAATGGGACCGAAGTGCACACAACATGCATTGCCACAGTGCTGTGGTGTATATGGGCCGTTACTGTACAGATTTAAATGCTGCTTACTATAGAAACGTGTGGTGATGTCGGCGTTTATGCTGCAGGAGGTTTATCAGTTTTCCTGTATGGTTTATCTTGCTGGCCTGAGATTGATGTTTGCCCAGGTATCCTCAGCTCTGATTCATTACTGAACCCTCTCCTCTGTCTTTTTATAAGAAAAATAAATGCCGTGTATCCCCCTCCCCCACACCCTTCTTTACTAGTTTGGCCCATCCTGTTATTCACTTGCTTGGCTTATCCTGTTTTTAAGGTGATGGTCCCGTTTTCACTTCCAATATGTTCAGAATTTCCCTTCTTGACATCATTTGCCTTGTGGTTTCATTGGTTATGTCTTGTTCGCAGTTTCATGTGTAAATGTAACAACAAAGGGTCAGTCCACTCGCTGGTATTTTGTTGGTTAGATGCCGGAAAGTTAAAGTTTGCATCATCACAGGGACCTCAGTGCTTTTTGCTCCCAGATCTAAATGCTAGTGGTGACCGTTGCCGAGGGGTCCTACTATTACATTTTCATCACCTTTTTTATAATGCTGGAGAGTCACAGTAGCCCTAATCTGTATAGAGGCGAGGGGGCAATCCAACGGCACCAGGGCATTTCTCTCCTGAATATGACCTGTTTTTAAGGGCCTGTTCACATGAGTTTCAGGTCCGGATCAGGTGCAGATCTGCTGACGCGGTGCTATGTGTTTTTGCCTCGTTTTTGATGCGTTCCAGTAAAAAAAAAATGGGCTATCAGTATGTTAGCTGCAGTGCAGTGATTAGTTTGTGTCCTCCCGTTACCCTAAGGAGAACTATGGGTAAAAGCCCTGACCCCATAGTTCTCCTTTAAATATAAACATTAGTGAAAATGTATGCGCTTCATATTCCTAAAAGCACATGGACAAGGACAAGTTAGATGTTTTAAATTGCCAGCTGCTGTGATATTACATTTTGTATAAGTTGTTGCATGTGTTTAGAATTAGTTGCAGATTTGTGCTGCTTTTAATTTTTCACAGCTGGCATCTGTGCACAATGACACAAATGACAGCAGTCATAATAGCTGCCAGAGTATCGATGGCAGTAATGTGTACATGGTTAAATGAATGTGCATGATATCAGAAGTGCGTATTGCCAAGTGAAATTTCTGAAGCCAACATTTCTGGGTGGGCCAATCTACTGTGTCCCCTGCTGCTTTTAGTGGCTCCTCACCCTGACCCCAGAGGCATTACTGAGTTCTGTAGTGACGTTGGAGTCAGTAGGAGCAACAACTAGTGCAGCGGGGGCACAGATTGATGCTCCTGGAGGTGTCTGTTTCAGAGAACACTTGATGATTTCTCTGCAATGATGAGACATTCCACGGCACAGGCAGCAGGAAAAGTAATTTACTTCTTTACAGGTAGCTCTTCTTGCAGCAAGTTTAAGTGACAGCAGCTTTCAATACAGTTATTGGAATCCAGTCTGTTGTCAGCTGAAAACAGTAAGAATAGTGTCCCATTGCAACATGCTTTTGTAGTACATCTGCAAAGTAAATAAAAGATTTTCTTTACATTCTGAGTGTAGCCATTGTGACTGACAGTGCAGCAACCCTGCTTTGTATTACAGTCATTTCCAGGATGTGGTCATATTTTGTGAAAGCCTTCATGCTAAATCAGTGACAAGAATAAATTAAGTCGGGATTGATTAGCTGTTGTTCAGTAGGTTGTCCGTACATGTGGAAGGTTTTTTGTAAGTTTAAATTTAAAGTCCTTTGCAGAAAAAGTGATCAACCAGTAATAAATATAGGTCTGTGTGTGACCCCACTTGGATGCTGGGTCAGTTTTAACCTTTTTTAATCCTTATTTGTTTCTTGTTCATTGAGGGACATAGGAGTTCAGAAACAGTTGGGTTATGCTGCTGCGTTCAGGAGGATTTGAAAATTGGTACAAAAAAAATTGTAGGCAGCCAGGTAGACCCCTCCCCACTCCCAGCATGCTGTATTTTTTTCCCTAGTGTCTAGGAGTGTCTACTAGCCTGCTGAGAAAAATAACTTTTTTGATAGCTTTTTTTTTTTTTCTTCAATCAAGATTCTTCTACAAGCTCCTCGAGCTTGTGTCTAAATGCAGCTGCGATCCAGATCAGTGCTGTACCTGGAATCAGCTAGACTAGATGATTGGGAGGCCAGCCTGGAATGTTACCTTCAGGGCCTGTTCACATGAGATCAGGTCCTGATCAGCAAACTTGGAGCTGCTGATGTGTTTTTGGCCGCGTTTTTGTTTTTGCTGGAGTGGGGCTGTTAGTATGTTAGCTGCTTCGCAGTGCGTTTTTGACGCGTTTGCGTATCCTGACCGTTTCTGGACCTGACAAAATGTGACATGCAGTATTTTTTCTGTCGTAAGCTGAACGGACTACGCACGTGAGAACTGTAGCCCATAAAACACATAGGGATACATTGGGATGCATTTTGAGTGTAGCAGCGTACGGAGACGGTCAGCACACAAAACGTCGTGTGAACAGGCCCTCAGCCACTGGACTCTGCCATGTTTCGGTCTCCAGACCTGAGTGGACTGTGTTAGCTGTGGAGCACCTTTCTGAGTCTTGAGCCGGGTGACATTATAGTGTTCTTTTGTGGGTTTGTCAGTGTTTTCTTGCCTTTGCCTACTCATTTGAAATGATTTTGGATATCCCTATGGTCTCGGACTTTGAGTGTCCCTCATAGAGAGGAAGAAACTGAGATATTTGTACTTTGCAGTAAAGTTCATTTCTTGGAGTTCGTTGATGGACACAGGTCCCACTCCCACCCCTCTGTTTCTATGCTCATGGTACTACTTTTCCACAAAACTAAGGCATGCAGAGAGTTTTTTTGCTAGTGTTCATATCTCCTGTAGGTGGCAGTACAACCCAACAGTCTGAATTCCTGTGCCCCTCAATTAACTCCAAGAAATTGATTTTACGGCAACTATAAAAATCCGATTTCCATTAAATGTGACATTAACAAGCCTTGCTGCACAAAATAACACACCTGCAACTTCTTGCAAATCAAAGTGCATTAATTAGTTAAATTAAATCAATTGTGTATTTCGGTGTGCTGTAGTGGAAGTGCATTTGTACTGTGTGGGGGGGGGATGCCATGTCCACGCATTGGTGTGAATCTGATGTTTGTGATGGGAAATCAGTGAGTCGCCAGTTTGTCTTCATAGAATGTGATGTATTATGACATTGCCTTCTTTGCTGCAGTGTTCAGCAGTCTATGGGGAAGAGAATACATGGTGGTTATAGGTATGGAGGAGCATGTGGCTCCCTCTGGTCCTCCGCTGACAGAGCATAGAGTCCTTTAATCCTGTGTAAACTCGGACTAGAGAGATTTTCACTTTAACCCCTTTGCGACTGCAGTATTCCTTGTTAAATCTACATGGAAAATGCCCCTTGCTATGAGAACATTTATTCACCTCGCAGCAAAGAACTAGGAGTGCACATCTGTGTGTGTTCCTGGTTCTCAGAGCAGACCTCAAGCTTAAAATAAGTCATACAGCTAATGTCAACTTAGCATACTGAGGCTGCTAAACCTGGTTTGGGTATCTTCGCTTAAAAAAAAATCCAATCTAAAAAGGGTTAATAAGTGTTGCTAAAATCTTTGCTCTGCAAATAGATGACATTTTTTTCCTCAACACTGGGGTTTCACGTTTTAAAACTTTCTTTATTTTCTTTTATAGAGTTATATCTCTTTAAAATGCCTGGGCAAAAATTTGAAGATGGATCCGCTGTGATGGGCAGATGGCCAGGGAGCAGCCTTTACTATGAAGTGCAGATTGTCTCATTTGATCCTTTATCTCAACTTTATACTGTGCGGTATAAAGATGGAACTGAGCTTGATCTTAAAGAAGGTGATATGAAAGTAAGTATTTCATTGTTTGACTTCAGTATGTTATACATTGTCTAAGTCTTATCAGGTTTTTTTAGGGATGCACTGATATATTGGCCGAAAATGGCACTTTTGGCATAATGCCGAAAGTGCAATTTTCTGGGCGATACAGTGGTGCATCCGTGATTTCTCTCCTTCCCCTGGACGCTGCTCTGTGTCCCAGCTGGGAGGAGAGAAACTGCCACAGGCGGCCTGAACGCTGCGGCAGTAGAGCGCTGTCAGTGGCCGGCGTCTCTCCTCCCTGCACCCCTCAGCCTCCTGTCGCAGAGCGGTGTGGGGGCGGAGAAAGCCTGTGCTGTCACAGGTGGCTGAGCTCTCCTCCCTGACCCGCCCCACCCAGCCTCCTGTGACAGCGTGTCAGAGGGGAGAGCGCTACAAAGATTCAGTGATCGCTGAGTGTTTGTAAATAATCGAGGACAAAGTATGTGTACTATATCCTTATTTATGAATGACTGGGAAGTGATCTACATCACCTCCTGTTCATTCATGATTGTGGTTATAGTAAACATACTATGTTCTCATGTTATGAATGAACAGGAACACTCAGTATAGAGCATTCCTCTTCATTTATAACTGGGGCTGCAGAAAAAGAGATTGAGCACTCTGTGTCCTCAATCTCTTTTTCTATTTTAAAAGGGAAATATCAGGGGTCTGTTTAGACCCCTAATAGTTCCCCGAAGCCCCTAAAAGTAAAGTAAAAAAATTAATAAATCTAAAACAAGTTTATAAAAAATAAATAAAATAAAATAAACATTTTCGGTTGCGGCCTGACTTTTTATTTTTATTATTCGGGTTCGCTTCGGTTTTGAAATTTTCATTTCGGTGCGCCTCGTTTTTTTTTGTTTTTTCTTCAAATATGTATGGGAATATCATGAACTTTAAGTGGGCCTAGCTATATCAAGTTAAAATGGAAAAAAAAAGTACCTTTTGTTTTTTCCCCCCATCTTTCACGCTGTGATCTGAAACATAGGTAAATTCTTCTGGGGTTAGCTACAAGCATTCACATTGTTTTTCACTTACATGAGAATAAGGACATCAGCAAAGTAAAGTTAATGGCAGGCATCGTGTGGTGTTTGCTCTTTGGATGCACTTTTACTCGAAAATGGAGTACAGTCTAATCTCTCATATTTACTGTGATAGAAAATACAATTACCATCCACTATAGTTATTAATGTAAATATTATTTGAAAACATTGTTGGTAGTTTACCAACATATGTATTTGGCTGCATGTTGTACATCAAATGATCTCGGTGTGGTCTATCCCATTATCTCAACATACTGTTGACGAACGGTTCCCATTACATGCAGGTGTCTCGATGGAGTGGCACCAAATCCCCTAAACAATATCTACTCTAATATGCAAATATTAAAACCTTCTGTGTCCATTGATCAGTGACGCCATGGGTCACATTGATGAACCAGTAGCAGACTGTGATGGAGTGGAGCCAAGCACTGTATTGCTAGCTGAAGTGATGTTTGCATGGTGGATCACCAGGGGTTTTGAGGGCCCCTGAAGTTTTCTGCAAGAAAATGGAGGCTATTTAGAGGCACTTCTGCTGTGATATTCTGATGCCAGTTGACATGAATGAGCTGGTTTAACCCCTTCATGACTGAGGCCCTTTTTTCAATTTTTGCACCCATGTTATATTCCACATTTTAGGCCTGAAAATGACATAAAACCCCCCAACATTATATATTTTCTGAAAGCATTCCCAGAGTCAGTTGTTGGAAGAGCACAAGAAGATGTGTATTGACACAGGCTAGTTTTATGTAGAAGCATTATATTTCATGCTATTTTAAAGTTATATAATTATGCTCTTTGTGTTGACAGGTTCACTATAAACTGTGAAGAGCTCAGTTAGTATTTGCACAGACAAAAAGCAGACGCAAGTAATTCGCTATTTGAGCAGTATGTTTCATATTGTGTCGTGTCATTTTCTTGTAGATTTTTTTTTTTTAATGTTGAAACCACCTGAAAAGTAGTTCTACCAATGGCCCAAAATTAACTTTTTGTGTTAGCAGTATCACAGCATCTTTCACAAATTGTAGTAAAATGGCTTATACTTTTTGTTTCCTAACCTTGACCTATTTGCTATGCTAGGCCTTGAGTGCTTTCCGAAAAAAGGGGAGTTCAGCCTCTCCCTCGAGACGGAGGAGCCGATCTAGATCACGTTCTCCTGCACGTATAAGGTCACCAGGCCGTACGCCAAAGAAGAGCCAGCAGCCATCTCCAGTTCCTGTCGCCAGAGACAGCCGGAAGGGAGACTTGTTAAAGGTCCAACTTACACCATTGGTAATGACTTTGTAATTCTCTACAGCATTCATTGTATTCACAATGGCATATTAGGAAGTCATGTTTCTGGACAAATGTATGTTTTTCTTCAGGTGGGTTAAGGGTTTTGGCTTAATTGATTCACTTCTTTAATTTCAGAGACTTGAAGACTTTATCAGTGGAAAGAGCAATGGCGAAGCAGAGGGTATTGGAAAAACTGTTGATTTTCTCAGAGAGAATTTGCGTACTACAGTGGAGAAAGATGATTACCTCAGGGAACCTTTGCGTAGTAACGTGGAGAGAGAGGATTTCTTCAGGGAGTCTTTGCCTAGTAACGTGGAGAGAGTGGATTACTTCAGGGAGTCTTTGCGTAGTAACGTGGAGGGTGAGGATTTCTTCTGGGAGTCTTTGCCTAGTAACGTGGAAAGAGAGGTAAGCTGCTGTAATGCATTGGATTCTTCCAGCACAGTTTATCAACTCTTAACTTTTCTACTTTGGGAAGCAGGAGATGTTTGTCACTTATTGTTAGGATCGGGTCACACAAGAGCTTTTACGCTTACAGTCCTTTCAGGGGACTGCTTCCAAAAACACTGGCAGGATCTGAGCATTTCACCTTCAAATCTGTAGAATTAATGAATGTCAGTCTATTGTCTGTGTCCCTGAAGAGTTTTTACCTCCTGTCCTGTATTTCACCTAGAAAGCAAGTTAGGGGAAATCTTCCCAACATGGACACAGCTATAAAATCCTTAGTTCTATCCCTTCTCCGCACTCTTCAAAAAGGGTGGGTTTAGCCCCCTTTGGGGCCTTGAGTCCTCACTCTTCTGAGAAAACTTTCCACAAGATTTTGGAGTGTGTGCGTGGTGCTTGGAGGGGGGAGTTTGTGCCCATTCAGCCAAAGGAGCATTGGTCAGGTCAGGTAATGATGTTGGATAAGAATACCTGGCACAGTCAGCGTTCCAGTTCATCCTAAACCATGTCCTTAGGGAGCTGGAACAGAAAAGGGTGTTCCCCAAATGTGCCAAACGTTTGGAAGTTTTGTCTAAAATGTCTTTGCTGTGGCATTAACGGTACAATTTACTGAAAACACCTGAACTAAATAATTTGTAACAGGGATTCCACACACTTTTGGCAATATAGGGGATGTGATGGACAGGTGCCCACAAACTTATGGTATATAACAGGACTGCCTACAATTTTTCGTCTGGAGATCTACTTCTCAAATGATGAGCTCAATGAGATCTACCAATGAAAAAACACCTGCAGGAGGGGGTGTGGCGGTGCATTGCAGTCAATGGCACCACAGCCAAGCCTGCGGTGCGATCGGCCGCACGCGCAATGCAGGCAAGATCTGGGGTGCGATCGGCAAAAATGCTGCAAGCACTATTTTTGCAGATCGCATTCGACCGGAACGCAGATACTAATGTGCCTCCGTTCTGGTTGCAGGCGATCGCACTGCGGGTGGGGGGTGTAGCTGCGGTGCCATTGCCTTCAATGCCCCCTTTCGCCTCTGAACGCAGGGAGCCAGCCGGCTTGCGTTAGTGTTTTCTAGAGGCCGAACAATCTGGAACGCAGACTTTGTGTTGTGAACCGGCCCTCTCTTTTGGCTGCCTCTTCTCTCTCCTCACTCTCTCCCCTGTTTATATCTGCGGTCTCTTCTCTCACTTTCTCTGCGGTCTCTTCTCTCACTTTCTCTGCGGTCTCTCTCATGTCTGTCTTGTTCTTACCTCCACTGAAGCTTCCCAGGTCTCCTCTCATGCACTGGCTTTCTGTCCTCCCGGGGAGAGGTGTCCCGCCATTTTCCGTCTGACACATTCAGCTGCATGAGCACCACGGGAGGACTAGACACAGGTCAGTGAGCCGATCGCGATCTACCAGTGGTCGCTTTGCAATCGACTGGTAGATCGCGATTGACATAATGGGCACCCCTGGTCTATAACATATTTAGGCAGTATCCCAGTAGCGTGTAATGTTTGCTTTCAGTGGATAAACACATGGAAATATATTTATAAATGTTTTTGTAGTTCTGCTTGCTGTGAATGTGTTTTTGTTTTAAAATGCTAAAAATCACATCGTTGTTGTTTTTACAGGAGAAAGTGGTGAAAGAACTTGTAAAAAATGAGAGAGTCTTACGGTATAGACGTAAAAAGGAGGATCATGTAGAAAAAGAATCTAACTATACAGAGGTTGATAAAGCAAAGCCAGCTGAAGAGATTCAATCAGAGTTTGGAGGGACTATAGGTAAGTCTTCATTTATTAGAACTGCCTATTTTCCTCAACCTTTAGTTTATGGTGAAACATTTCACAAATTCACATAAAGCAAGAAATGTATGACGTCTATGAAATGCGATGGGATTCCCTTTACAGGTACAGCCTTGCTCCTGAATATTTCCCAATTAGTGCCCATGAGCAAACAAGGGTTTTTTGGGTGTTCATCCTTTTGCTTGGCCTCCAATGCTGGCAGTAGGAGACATGAAGGTTCTTGTGGTGAATCAAAGGTCTCCATCCACATTTTTGCTGGCTGGATAAATATTATATTGCCAATGGTCAGCCACTCCTTGTGTGAAATCCCCCAACACATTTACCGGGGCTTTCCAAATTTCACATAATTGTTGAACTTCATGTGTATCAAATGGAGAAATTAGTAATTTATGATCACACTCGGGATGGTTGTCAGTTTATAAAAACAAAAGAGAAAAGTAGGGTTGCACAGATACCAAGTACAGTACTCGGTAAAAGTACGAGTACATGTACCGATACTTTTGAGCTCCAAGACTACACTAGAGAAAAATGCAAAAATTAGGAGGCAGCTGCCATTTGTAAGGAGCACACGGAGCTCCTGGGATTTGTACATCTCTGTTTTAATGTACGATTTTGTTTTTATAAATATAAATAAAGTGATGCACAGATACCAGTTTTGCGAGTACGTGTACTGGTACTTGCCGAGTACTTACAAGTACGAGTACTGATACATTTCTGTTTATTGTCATGTGACAGTTTTTCTAAAACAATACAGACTAATGATTTCAGGGCAGTGGTGGAGTGCCAGAGCCAGGTCCCAGCTGCAACCCTGGTAGTTCTCATAAAAATGCCAAGTATCGGCACTGGTACTCGAAAAGTATCTGTGCATCCCTAGAGAAAAGTGAAGCACATAGTGGTCAGTCAGCATCTTACGCTCAGGGAAAATTAAACAAGCAATATATGCATATATGTTGCTTTGAAAAAGGATCCCTGCGTGTATCCCAAACGTCAGCACCTTATGACGCTGTGTGACACTTTGCACTCTATTTATTAACCGGGATTTTGATACTGGATTCCCTGAGTGTGTGCCGGTGAAACGCTTGAATCTACTATTGATGATTGCACGGCGCCATCCGTGCGGTCACCTCGAGCACCACAGATGCCTTTCGGAATATAAGACCGTAGGAATGCGGATGGCACTTGGATTTTGTTACAATATATGCATATATCTAGGCTGCCACTGCCAACCATTGCATCAGAAAATGCTAGATGTTTGGCTGTCATGAAAAGTGATAAGGAATTTGACTTTTCTCTGGCTTCAATTTGCTGCTTCTTGTCTAATTCAAAAATATTGAAGCCAGATCTGGCCAGGGAATTTTCAAATGGAGGCCAAACATGGCAGTGCTGCATTTTTTTCTCACAATTGTTGTACTGTAATCAATAATCTATATTGCTGTTCTATTAGCTCATTGAGTTTTTTTCTTTTCAGGAACCTTTTTTATGACATTGTCTATGCCGCCATTGCTGTACTACTTGCTGAACCAATGTATTCAGAAGAATGCGTCGCTCTTCAGTTTCTACCCTCAGTGGTCACTGGCTGACTTGTGGAATCCTACAGTTTTGGGTTACTTTGCTTTGTGGATGCTTCTTAATGCATTATTCTACCTGCTCCCTATTGGAAAGGTGAGGACTTTACAACCGTTATGTCAAATGTAAAGTTAAACAAAGTAGCAGCTGTTCTTCCCCTTGGGCTATATTCATATAATAAGTTCTTGTGTCAGGCAGAGATTCTGAAAATACATTAATTGTGCGATGAAAATAGCTTTGTATCGCCTCTTATTCATACGCACACTGTTTTTCCATTGGAAAAAAAAAAGTAGTATTTGCAAAATACAAGTAGCATAAACATGTACAGCGAGTAGTCATAATGCAATTTTATTAGAAAGAAAACAGTCACATTAACATGTAAACTGTCCAGGAATGTTTTCGGCAGGGAGCTACAATTTACATTTGTAAGTAATAAACATCTGCCCGTGCTGTGATGTCTTACCAAGCCTCAAATTTACATTGGGGATTGGTACATGTAGGTGGTGTTTAATTCTAGGTGGATGACCATTGCAGTGGGGTAGAGCTAAGGCCCCAAAAAGTTATCGACCCTGTTGATGCATGGAGACCATAATTTCTGAAACGCCAACAGCCAATGAGCGTATTTAACATTGTCTGTCACTGCAAGGGGGGTGAGGAGGAGGAGGCGGCAACACTTTCTAGCAACTGGTTTCCATGCAACACAATTCGTCCTGCCCACTGCATCAATGGCAAAAAAGCCAAGGATACCCGTTAAAGGGTTGATACCTTTTTAAGATGGGAAATCCTCACAGTTCAGGTCCACTTTAAGATGTCAAAAGTTCTCTGCTGCCAGCTGTTGGTGCTGGTTACTCATTCTGCCAACAGTTTTCAATTGTGTTGATTTTAGGGAAGGCCTTGAACTGTGCCATGTGTCTTTTGGCGCAGTTTGTTACCAGGCACAAAACATGGGCCTCACTGGTACCAGGTCGAAACCCACAGTACAATAAGCATCATGGTGGAGAACCTCTAGATCTGTGGGCTGTATTATACAATACATTGACACAAGGTGTGATGAGCTGTGTGCTTGACAAGTTTTTACATGTCAAGACTTTCTAACTTAAGAGAATTGTGTTTTTTTTTTTAAGGTGGCATACGGCGTGCCCCTTGCAAATGGGAAACAGCTGAAATACAGAATAAATGGTAAGGTTTCCGGCTTATAGCCTTCTCTCTGGAACTTACGCTTGTCTTCATTTCTTTGTATTTTAAGCCTGTGGAGGACCCTAGATCATAGAGACTCAGCTGTACATAAGTCTTCTAGTCTTGTCCAATTGTTAGTAAAGCGCCATCCCTCCTGGTTCATAGCTCCACTTCTTTTCATCTAGACATTATATACTTTTAGACTTCTAATAGCTATTGTTAACTGACCGGGCTTAATGTTACATTTGTTGAGAAGTTGCAGCCCTGCATAAAGCTAGGATTCCAGGTTCTGCCAGACAAGTACATGTTTGCGCTTTGCTTATATCTGTTTTTACTGTAATGTGTGTAGAAATCTGCCAGATTATCATTTACATCGGGTTGTGATGGCCTTTTGTTAGACAAATCACCAGTGACTGAGATGATGTCTTGCTTCCATCAGTCATTAGGCTTAAGCAGCATTACTTGTGAACATGCTGGAAATGGTTGTTTAGCACTACATTTTTAAGGAATAATACTTTAATAATTTATGTAATGTTGGCACTGTCAGAGTACATGAGCCCTTATGAACCCCCCCTCATGCCAGTAGTATTATATTCTGCATCCATGACTAGGAAGAGTGTTGTAATTTTGGGTCATGTCAATTGGAATTAGAGCTGCAACAGTTAATCGATTTAGTCGATTAAAATCGACGATTGAAAACGTTGGCAACGTTTCCGATTCGTCGGCTATCGATTGATTTGCCTGTTCGGGGCTGTTCCGGGCTCCACATGCGGCCTGAGCCACACGTCACACGCTGCTCCCGCTGCGGCCGCCGTGCCCGCGGCACAGGCCGCGTAAGCCACGCCCACCGCACAGGACGCTGAAGCCGCGCACAAAAGTATAATGTATTATTGCTGGGACTTGTTGTTCCTCTATAGCTGGTGGTATTCTCCATTGCGCTGTATAATGTATTTTTGCTGGGATTTGTTCCTCTATAACTGGTCAGTGGTAATCTGCATTGCGCAGTATAAATCATTATACAGCGCAATGGAGAATACCACCAGCTATAGAGGACTACAAATCCCAGCAATAATACATTATATACAGCGCAATGCAGAATAACGCCAGCTACAGAGGACTACAAATCCCAGCAATAGTACATTATAGTATAATGTACTATTGCTACATTCCTCTATAGCTGCTGGTATTCTGCACTGCGCCGCTGTATAATGTACTATATTGCACACCACACTTTTTTTTTTTACTTCCACCGCGCCAAGCTTGCTCCCGTGATGGACTACAATCTTAACACAAACTAGTCGTCAATCACTGGAGCCTTTTTTTTAATATTATCCGATTAACCGATTAATCGAACTTAATAATCGGCCAACTAATCGATTATGAAAATAATCGTTAGCTGCAGCCCTAATTGGAATAGTCCTTGGGTATGTTTTGTTCTCCCCCACCCTGATTAATCTTCTGTGTGTTTTATCCTACTAGGAATCCATTCCTTGCTTCTGGTTTCTGTGATGGCAGCAGTGCTTTTGTACTATCAGGTCAACCTGCTGTATGTATACAATCACCTCCACCAGTTTGCAGCTGCAGCTACTTTATTCTCTGTTGTTCTAAGTGTTTATGCATTTGCACGTTCGTATCGAGCCCCTAAAGAAGACCTTTCTGAGGCTGGGAAATCAGGTAGGTCCCTTTTTGATTTAACAAGCATGTAGTTTTGGCTCATTTGGCTGTTTAGTGACTTTAAACAAGAATCCACTAAAATGTATAAAAGCAGTTTGCAGGGCTGTCCCACTAAATTTCATAAGGTGTGGGACGTTTGGATTGAATATGCAAAATCGGCGGTATATTCTGAACCCTAATCCTCATTTGTGTTTAGTATTTTATGACTGCCTCCTAATCTGCTCCTTCATTGATGTGGGGCAGCTCTTGACCTGCCCGCAGACCACCCGTTCTCTTATTTCTTAGTCTTGTAAGCTAAGACAGCTGAAGTGAGCTCCCCTATTTCTGGTTGATTCCACAAAGTTGCACTGTTTGTATTGTTGTGTACTTTATTTTGTATTATGTAAAATCCAGATAACAAAAAAAGGCATTTAATTGATGTAATTCACCTATACCCAGATTACTTGATCCCACCGCTGTAGGTGCATACCTCTGCTTTTGATAGAAAGAAAAGAACTTCCATCACATTTACAAAGTGGTGGTCTGGGGCATGTGAAGCCTCAAAGTTAGCCTCAAAGTTAATTTCAGATGATATGGTGGCAGTGGCAACTGGTCACATGACTGACAGATCATGTGACTGGGCTTTCTTCCTATCAGAGTGTTCTTTGCAGGTCTATGGGGAGAACACTTCAAAAGACACTGCATACCCAACACCCGTCCCTGCTTATAGATGTAACATAACATTTACTGCGGTGTAATGTGAGTTTTTGTTCAATATCTTCTGTCTTTAGATTTGATTAACAATTCCTCAAAGCCTCTTCCAAAATATCTCCTAGTGTTTATTAACTAGAGAATTGTATAGTGATGCTCGTTATGTTTTTGAAAATAGTTGTCTGTGGTGTCTGGCTTCAGTACTTTTGTTCCACAGACCTGATACAAGCATGTGGTAAATGTGTCAGAATTCCTCTTGTGTGTTTCCAGCTCAGTGACTTGGGAACCATACTATTTTATGTAGCAGCTTCATGGACATCAGCAACGTTCTTTGTTTTGTATGATTGATTTCTGTTTGATGCGTTTGCTGTTCTAATTTCATGCAGTCTGACATTGGTAATTTACTATTACAGGCAATTTCATCTATACTTTCTTCATGGGCCGAGAACTAAACCCTCACATTGGGAACTTTGACCTCAAGTATTTTATTGCCATTCAACCTGCAATTAATGGCTGGGTAAGGTGTTTTTTTTTTAATGTAAACCCTTTACAAACTTGGGCAATTTTGTGAGCAGGTGATGGGAGGGAGGAATGAATGCATATAATAGTTTAATACAAATGATCAGTAAATGAAAGCTATAGGCAGCTTACATTTATAAGGAAGTCTTGACGTTTCCTGCACACGTTTGTCCTGACCACTTGTCATATTAAAGGAACAGATGGAAAGTCTAAGGGCTATGCTAGCCTTCTGCATGAAAATTTGAGCAGTACGTATCAGTTCAGCTGCCGACATGTCTGGATCGACCAATCATTTTACAGCTTCCATTAAAGTTATCTTTGTTTTTCCCTCTTTTTGTATGATATGCTCTGTTTTGTATTGTAGAGGTAAACAAGGTTTAAATACTTCTATAGGTTGGGATGTCTACAGATATCATTTCATAATGTGATCTTTCATGATTTTCCAGGTTTTCCTCAACATTATAATGATTTTGGCTGAAATGCATGTCCAGAATCTTGATGTGCCTTCCGTATCTATGATCCTGGTAAACAGCTGTCAGCTGTTGTATGTTCTTCATGCTCTTTGGAATCAGGTAATGCACATTAACTCAACAAGACTTTCTTCTTAAGATGTGCTGTATGTATTTCTCTCCAACACATGTAGTGCTTTATAGCAGAATGCCAGCTTTAATGGGCACCTCCCCAAAGTATATTTACATCTTTTCCAAGGGACATCTGGCCTGTCCAGTGATATCTTTTCTCTTCCAGTATTGGCCGACCCTTAGTACGGCACTTAGTGGTGTGACCGTGATGACGTGTGAGTGCCATTCAGTGCAGTAGTACTGTGAGCCCAATCTGATGGTTTACTACCAATGTGAAATTATTTGTAACAAGATCATACAGTGGCTGTATTGTACTGAGTCAGAGGAGAAAGAGGGACAGAAAAGAAACAATATCTGCGTCTTACACATCTCATAAAATGGATTAGTGTAGCCTTACTATTGTGTATATTGACTGATCTCGCGTGCTTGTTTCTAGGAAGGGATGCTGACCTCTTTGGATATTGCCTACGATGGTTTTGGCTTTATGATGGCATTTGGAGGCCTCGTGTGGGTTCCCTTCACATACGCCCTGCAAGCAATATATCTGGTCAACCATCCGGTGGATCTTTCCTGTACAGTTGTTGCATCCATTATTGCTTTGAACAGTAAGTTTCCTCTATTACTAATTCTGCATTGTCAGTGTCTGGTCACCAACTGGGTCAGGTTTTTTTTGTAAATCACACCATGATGTAAACAAATAGTAGCTCAGCTTGTAAGTATAAAGAGGCTGCCAAGCAGAAAAGTTTTAAACAAATACAGCTGCAAGTAGTTTTATCATTTGCTAAAAAATAAGGTGGCTTATAAGGTGGAGCATCGTGCCAATGTCAGTAAGGTGGCATATTGTGTCACACATTCATCCATGCCACCTCAGGCATTAATGGTGGTTTTTGTACTTTTAGCTCTCGGATACTTACTATTTCGATATGCAAACAATCAGAAGTTCGCCTTTAGGAAAAATCCAGATGACCCGAAGCTTTCACGTGAGTCCAAACCCCTCGTCTGGTCTTTTAATTGGTCTGAATCCAGTGCTTGTCCTCATCTCAATTACACGCAGCTTTGTGAATGTTCCCTTTTCTCTCCCCAGATTTGAAAACCATCCCAACTTCAGCCGGCAGCCAGCTGATTGTGTCTGGGCTTTGGGGATGGGTCCGACACCCAAACTACTTGGGTGACCTCATAATGGCCTGGGCCTGGTGTTTGCATTGTGGTGAGTATTAGTGTGGCTGTGTTCAGTCATTCTGAAAATACAATCACAGTTTGTGGACAGCATAGATACCTTCTTTCCTAAATCATGGCGCAGGTTACATGAATGTCTGTAAAATGTATTGGCAATCCAAAGCACTAAATATTTAAATGTTACTATATCTAAAGACACAACCCCAATATTATGTGTTTTTGTTGTTGTTTTTTTGTACATAGTCCCTGTCAGATAATCACTATTGACTGTTGTCCTGCACAGCTCCCCCCTAAATGTAACACACAGAGGAGAATACTTGCTTGCTCTGGAGATCTTCACCCTGTGGCCCTGCCTGGCGGCTCACAGCCTTTGATTGAAAAAATTAAAGTAGAACCCTCCACCTGCTGGTTCTGTGTGCCTTGGCCTCATTCATTCCTCACTCATAGACCGCTCTATCCATAAGGGGATGGACCCAGCCAAAGGAATGAATGATGCCGGGGCACAGGACCTGGGCATAGCTCTGCAGTGCCTACAGTGTAGATCTCTGAAGTTGGAGCTAAGTATAAGTATTCTGTAGGGGGAAAGTTCACTGAAGATGAAGTTCTTGAATACCTTGTGAGCTCTCAGAACCATTATGTTGCTTTAGCTCCCTGTGTCAGGTTTGGGCCCTTCCACAAACTAGTAACTATATATCCCAGCATGCCCTGTTGGGCATCCCAAAGTTGAACGTACAGGTTGCTGTCTGATTGTACAGTCTTCTGGAGATTTACCAAAAACAAGGATCTGCCTGATGTGCAATCTGTCAAGTATGCATCCTAGACAGGGAGGAGGACTGGTTTAAAAGAGGTGTGAAAGGGGCCATTTATGTAAAAATAGAGAAGCCAAGCTTGAATAGAGGTGGTGGGGGGGGGCGGCCACATACAATGCTGTTTTAACCCCTCAGACTCCAATTATGCAAATGCAATCAACACCTGGTTGTGACTAACAGATTGCGTATTGGAGTAACACCACATTTATTCCCAGAGAATTTTTGTACAAGTCATTCTGTATTGAGAAAGCTGGTTGGATGTCCAGCGAAACGTCTTCAGGAAAAATACAGCAAGTCCAGTTGCCTTGACTTATTTTTTTACAGATATTCCATGACCTGGATGAATGAGAACCTTCACAGACGTATCTTATTGTAGATTGCACAAGTCTGCCAACTGCTGCTTTATAGGGGATTGTAGATTTATCCTGATTACCGGTAGTGATTGATCCTTTTATGTTTTGTCCTTCTAGGTTTCGCCAGCATTTTGCCATACTTCTACGGCTTCTTCCTCACCGACCTTCTCCTCCACCGTGTGACCCGAGTGGAACAGCAGTGTAAAAGAAAATACGGTCCTGACTGGCAGAAGTATTGTCAGCACGTCCCGTATCGCCTCGTCCCTTATATTTACTAGCTAGGCCACGCTGTGGATGTCACAATCATGTCGCTGTCTTTGGGTTTTCCTCTGATTTGGAGGATACGTGAGATCTGGTTTGGCCGTGCAAGTCATTGTAAATGTTTTGATATTTTGTATATAATGTTTTAAAGTAATTTTTTATAATGTATGCTATAGCAGCACAGAGGCTTTACTTTTCCCGCTGGGCAAGGAGAACGCTTCTTGTTTGTAAATGTATGTCCCGTGCTTTGTGTTTTCCGTTAGATTGGTGCAGACGCACTTTTTGGCAGCGTGACATAGGATGGGACGGCCGTATTGTAAACTGTCTTTCGATCACTAGTTGCCAGGGATATGATGTCTGGGCTGTCCAAGTACTTCCTGGTGAACCAATCAAAGTGGATCTGAAGCCAATTTTATTTTTTGTGTGTTTTGAAGAGTGGTGAGCGGCTAGAAGCCCTGCCAGGTTTTTATTGCGCCCTGAGTCCCTTTTGGGTAGATTCAACCTCTTTGTCCTAGTGACCCCTGACACCAGGACTGGAATTGAGGGAAAATCAAAAGTTTTAAGTTGTCACCAGAACAGGAACGTAGGGAAAAATCTTCCAATTGGGGTGTGTGTGTGTGTGTGTGTGTGTGTGTGTGTGTGTGTGTGTGTGTGTGTGTGTGTGTGTTTCGCGTAAATATGTATTTGGCCGTGCAAGTCATTGTAAATGTTTTGATATTTTGTATATAATGTTTTAAAGTAATTTTTTATAATGTATGCTATAGCAGCACAGAGGCTTTACTTTTCCCGCTGGGCAAGGAGAACGCTTCTTGTTTGTAAATGTATGTCCCGTGCTTTGTGTTTTCCGTTAGATTGGTGCAGACGCACTTTTTGGCAGCGTGACATAGGATGGGACGGCCGTATTGTAAACTGTCTTTCGATCACTAGTTGCCAGGGATATGATGTCTGGGCTGTCCAAGTACTTCCTGGTGAACCAATCAAAGTGGATCTGAAGCCAATTTTATTTTTTGTGTGTTTTGAAGAGTGGTGAGCGGCTAGAAGCCCTGCCAGGTTTTTATTGCGCCCTGAGTCCCTTTTGGGTAGATTCAACCTCTTTGTCCTAGTGACCCCTGACACCAGGACTGGAATTGAGGGAAAATCAAAAGTTTTAAGTTGTCACCAGAACAGGAACGTAGGGAAAAATCTTCCAAGTGGGGTGTGTGTGTGTGTGTGTGTGTGTGTGTGTGTGTGTATGTGTATGTGTTCCGGTAATAACTGTAATACAGGAAGTAAAGAGAAGTCTCTCCAATGGGACATAGAGGGCAACAACAAAAATGATGGGCTTTAACCCTTCCCTACTCTAAAATTTAAAAAAAAAAAAACTGTGAGGGAGTTGATCAAAATCTGGAGCAGCTGTTCACGGCAACCAATCAGCTTCTCTTTTCAAATCTTAATTGAACAAACTGAAGAGAGAAGCTGATTGGTTACCCCTGGTTACTGGTCCAGATTCTGTCTGCTCCTCTTTGTGGCTTTAGATTTACTTTAAAATGTTCCGTTTCTGAGCGGGCCGGTACCACTGTGTGTGGATCATCAGAAAAATCTAAAGTAACCTTTTGAAAGGTTTATATCCCACGTCCCCTAGATGATCTCACCCATAGATTACGGGTGAATGTAATTTTACAGAGCTGTACATTTATGTATATATTCTCTCTCCTCGATTGCCAAGGACTTGTGTTGTATAAAGAGGAGACATCGGAGTTTCTCTTTGATTGAAGTATCTATTATTCTATAGGGGAAATCACTATTTACTAGTAATATGCCCTGCGGGTATGCTGTGTGTACAACCGCTAGCAGGCTCCTTTTATAGGGGAGCATGTTAGGGTGAGCTTGAGGCTTTTCCAGTACCAAGATGTCATGTGTAAAGTCTTGTAAAGCTCATTTCCTATTCTGAAGATAGGAAGAAGAGTCCGTTCTCCTCTGCACTGCCTTTTATCTCGCCTCTTACCTACTATCATGTAAATGTAAAACGATGCTTTGAATTTGTATTACTAGAAGCTGTGATTGGCACAAAAGTAGCTTTGTTATGACAGATAGTGATACATTGTTAGGCAATCTGTGGTCCAATAGCTTCTTTGGAGTGGAAAGGTCTATTAGACCCCTCATGTCACCTTAAAGAGTACCTGTCGCCACTAATATGCCACTCGTAAGGCCCCTATGTGATGGCAAACTAGGTAAAGTAAGAATATATATGTATATATATTTTTTAATAAGATTAAAATTAATGGAAAAAAAAAAGTATAAAGGGGAGCGTGCGTGTAATTAGAGCTGCAGCTAACGATTATTTTCAAAATCGATTAGTTACCCGATTATTAAGTTCGGTTAATCGCATAAACAATAAAACGTGTAATAACGTAAACACCTGTTGGGTGCGCCTACGTATGGATAAAAGATCGTGCTACACTGCTGGGTATTGCCGCATGCGTCACAGAGGAATAATTCTAGTGTCAATAATCACGGATATTTCTAAACCGATGACCTGTACAGGCTTATAAAACGTTGCGTGTGGACAATTTCAGGTACCGTATTATGTCACCATTTTACAGACGTACGCAAGTTTTAACATGGGCATGTTGGGTATTTATTTACTCATCGTAACTTCATATTTTATGAAAAATATTGTGTATTTTGGGCTTAAATTACCATAAAGTGCATTGTTTTTGCAAATTAAGAGCGAAGAGTTGGACTAATATTGTGTGACCTAAAATTTGCAAGTGCCGCCATTTTATTTTACAAGGTCTCTGTGCTTTCAGCAAATATATAATATTTGGGAGTTTTAAGTAATTTTCAGGCCTAAAATGTGGATTATAACGTGTGCACAAAAAGTCCTCGGCAGTGAAAGGCTTTGTGCAGACCTCTATAGTGAGAATGGAGGGTAAATCTATGTTGGCAATCTTTGACCAGCTGCTGACATTGGTTTAGACATTTCGGCCAAAGGACTTTAGGGAATGATGCTGATTGGCTGTCTCTCCCTGAATGTCCTTTCTAAGGGCCGAGACTTGTGATTGGCTTATGTGGGAGATGAGAGTTGCATGTTCTTCAGCGTGGTTTAGTCTCTGTTGCTTTTCATTTGTCCGAGCCAAGGATGTTAAAGGAGAACTACGTGGAGAGTAAAATATACTCTGACCAGAACTTAGAGCCAGCAGTGTACACTGCAACTGTCACAGATCGGCTCTATAGATCGAGAGGTGAGCAATCGCATACCGCCGATCACTCAGCTCATGGCTTCTTCCTGCAGGGATTCCCCCCTCCCCTCTCTGTTCCTCCAGTGCTCATTGGATGGACAGACAGGGGAGGGGGCGGGCACAGCTGTCAATCACAGGGTGGTGGATCCTGACATTATTATCGGTATAATTCCTGGCTGTAGTGCAGCTCTGCGCTGTCAGCACATAGTGGGCAGAAGAATGCTATATGCTGACTTTGGGTCAGAGGAGGACATTAGTAAATATATTCCTGTGATCCAAAAGAGGACTAAATAAAAGTTTGCCCATAGTTCTTTTTTAACACCTACAGGCAAAGCACCGGCTGCCACTTTCTAGGCAATGCTCGCTACCCGTCTTTGTGGATTTGTCCATGTGTTCATTATGTAGTAAAAAAAAACAGGTCACCAGCACTCGTTTAGAATAAATATGTCCTTTTTAATGGACAATTGTGTCACTACAATCAACAGAGCCGATGTTTCGGGGGCCGCACAGGGTCCCTTCTTTCTAATTGTGACAATTTTACTGCCTTGAAGAAGGGACCCTGTGCGGCCCCCGAAACGTCGGCTCTGTTGATTGTAGTGACACAATTGTCCATTAAAAAGGACATATTTATTCTAAACGAGTGCTGGTGACCTGTTTCTTTTACTTCGTATTTTGCACGGTGCCATCCATGATAGTCATTGCGAGCACCACCGTTCTTATTTGGCTAGGACTGCTGTAAGGTGTGCGGAGAGGACCCCCACCACCTGAAAACGTATTCATTATGTAGTAGACTTAAAGAAAATCTCTATAGCAGGCCTTGTGCCTCCGATGCTTTAGTGCCTATAGATTGGGTGACCTTGTATGTTGTCAGCTGCTCCGAGGGGAACCTGAATATATTAACCCTTTTGCTGTCAGACTCTGCTCTTTACTTTTAACCTCTGCTAGTCAGGCGATTTTTGTTTGCCTTTTAAAAAAAAAAAAAAATTACTTTTTAGTTTACAGCTTTGTAAGTTTGTAATGTGTCCCCCCGAACCATTTATTTTCTGGAAGAACCGGTCTGCTAGAGTACAACGATGGTGCTGCTGACTATGTACGTCCTGCTATTGCTGTGCAATTGTCTATAAAAAATACACAAATCCATTATAAGCGCACAAACGCAACATTCCTACCGAGGCGGCAAGAAATCCTGCACCAGGCTCATGAATATTTCTACATTTTACATGAGGACTTTTTTTTTTTTAACAGAGGTAAAAGTACGCAAAACTCCAAACAAGTGACGCTAAAAATCTGCCGGTTGGCTTCACCCGTTTTCATTGTGTGAATGCCCCGTCTGCAATGCTGTGTGTGCGCTGCCATAGAATGATGCCGGCATGATCTTTTTAATGATTGGCTGAGATCGGTGCTTGGCAGGCGCTGATCACCGCTATTCCTTTAATCTGCAGAATTGAGGGGACTTTCCTGTTATGTCGCTGAAATGATCGGAAGCTTCTAGCAGAAGGGGATGTGAAGTTCTGATGAAGCTTTACGTCATTGGCAGGGAAGTTGTTAGAGTGGAGGGTGTATGAGGCCAATTAGAAACTCTCACCCAGGCCTGTGTCCCTTCTATTCATTCTATTGTATTGCTCGGAGCGTGTCCTGATCTTTACCAACAGGAAATCCTTCAGGACATGAATTGCAGGAACTTTATATTGGGAGTATAAGTGGCGGCACAGAGGGAAAGATTCCTAACAGCTACGCAGCAAAATTCTACGCCCCAGGCCGGTGTACTTTTTAATCAGATCTCCACTTTGCGCCACAGCTGGGATCTG